TGCGTGTACTCTCGTAATCCAATAAAAACGGGAACTTTGGTATTTTGGTATATTATATGGTATGCGATGTTACTGATGTTTAAGTAACAATAAGAATCTCAGTCCTTGCGACTCGACAATAACAATATTAATAACTGTAGGCAACGGAATAATATTATAGATAATAAATAAATAAAATCGATAACATGGTGCTAGGTACTGACAAAGTCAGCACGCCGTCGTTTGACTAGAATGGAACTGTCACATGCATTCGTCACAAGATACAGAATAAAGAATAAAATATAAATACACAATTTTACGCTTCTGAATAAATTAATAAACTGATTCTTTGAAAAAACTCATGGTATAATAATACAATATTTGACATCCTAGCTATTAAATTTGTAGTGTAGATGAGCTTTAAATATATCAAATAAAGGACAAATATTATTGATGATTACAGTTGCTACGCTATGGCACTCAAGTATTTGTTTGTTTATTTATTACATAATTCATTATGACAGAATATTACCATATCATATAGTATATAGTCATATTTACAATCTAACAATAAGAATAATTAATATAATTATCATATTGTTATACATATCAAAAATTTAAAAATATTAAAAATATTACAAATAATTAATAATTATTATGATTTAATATTTATTGTGAGTGTATAGTGTGTTAYTTAGTTGAGGACAWAACATATAATTTGGTGATCGAGCGTCGTTCGTTGTAGTTTAGGTACAATAATATTATAATTTATAAAACAAATCACGCATTGATAATATTAATTTATTAAATATTTAGTTATAAAACATTAATTATAATTTATATATTTATTATTGGGCATAGATACCGGATGAAATACTTCATTGGGAGTATATGAAGCAATGCATAATGCACAATTGTATACAAAATAAATACATACTCGCATTTTAAACTTTAATGTATTCGTTAAAATATTTAACAACAGCAATAATAATAATTATTATTATTATATATTCACCTAATATTTCTTWGCTAAATCAATTGAATAACTAATAAAAATGAAATAATTACACGTATACTTATTCACGAGTAAAGTAGTTGTAAATGTATTTCAATGTTAAACTACAGTAGTTCTTTTGGAGTTATTAGTATACGTATTTTTTTCTAGTTTGAATATTAATTCATCTAAGTTTCGGTAGGTCATCCTGAAATAATTATTATTGAATCTGCTCACATATTCTAAGAGAAAATATAACTTTTAAAGTCCTTTGGTGGTCCCCTTTGACAATTGGCTAAACATAGGGTGAAAAGATGAACCGATAATATTTCAACTTACTTATTTTAAGTATAAATATGTACCTACTAATAATTTTAACTAAACAACGGTATTATACTTTACAAGATAACTTTTTTTTGTAATTTATTATTAAATTTTAAACGACAATTGTTTACTGAACTGAAAATAWAACAAAAATTACAATATTCAAGCACTTGTAACGCCGCGTATGTGAATAGAAAAATATAGAGTTGTACCTATATTTGAACTTTCATATACCACATGCAGATGGATTATTCTACTTGATTATCAATACGTCTCATATCTGCCTATATCAATTTCACATTAGTCGTAGGTAGATGATCAGTTTTTTTCTATGGACCTACGTTCCTTTTTTCTTATTTAGATTTGCAAACTCATCTGACGTCTATTATAGGTATAATACACATTTAGCGATTAACGTATTTAACTATGTCTAAATTCTATAATGCTGTAAGTCTGATATTTTTGTGCCAGCTATGTATACAATTAGGTACCAAACTACTAGAGMTTGATAAAACAAGATGGTTCTCATAAAAGTATTATCCTAACAATGGCGATATTGTTTATGTTTCAATAAGCACATCAATTATCAACACAATAATTTTTATAATTTAGGTATTGTATATAGTTATCTATAGGCTCAAAAAAGTGTATGGATACCAAATGGCAAATTCAATAGTTTCTTATATGATTGGTAATAAAATTTTATCAAATATGAGCATCTATTATTGGATAGATTAATATGATCAAATCAATCCTCATACCATTGTATATGGTATAATTTGCATTGTTATTTGTTATTGTCCCGATAAGTATACATACGTCATATACATATGTTATGTTTTGATCAAGGTAAAAAGAAATTCTGTTCATACTTCATAATATAATATTGTACACTAAACAAAAATGATATTATTTTTTTCTCCTGCAAAATTGATTAAAGAAGCCAATACAATACCAGTGTAATATTAAATCTGATCTATATTGTAGATACCTAGGTATATGTTGGTATTATAGTGTTGTTATAACTTATAGTATATTATTATTATTATATTATGTAGATTTAGACAGTTCAATACTGCACTAGCGGCGTTTACATATTATACTATCTCTAAAATATAGTAGGTACCTATCATCATTTCTAGACGGCTATATGTGATTACAAGAATTTACGTGCATTAGTTCAGAAGTAAACGTGCACTAGACGTAGTAGAAGTATAATAATATTATAATCTCATATGGTATTCGTATAATATACGATATACGTTCACTTTTCTCATTATTTACCTTCGGGATTTCATATAAGCTCACCAAACACATTATATTCGGACGCGGGCGAAAGTGAATCCTGCAAACATCAATAATAACAATAATATAATAACAGTATAACACGTCGATTATGATTTATGATGATAATGTATTTAACAATGGCATGTATGATCTATGTGTACAATATGATACAGAAGTGACCGAAAAAACCAAATACCGTCAAACTTGTGCATCGAGTGCAAATCATGAGTTCGTAAATAATATTAGACAGTAGATAGGTAMACCGCGAAAAATTCTCATTATGTTATCAGAGTATGACCACAAAAGGAAGCTAATGCGCTATACATTATTTGGCCAATAGACGAAAAGAAAACGTATCTACCCATAAATATTATATACATATTATATTTTATACACACACGCGAGATTTACTACAAAGTATTCAAGACGTCTGATATTAATATTCTTAGTGATGGCAATATAGCGATGATGATAACTTCTTTATGCCGCCGTAGTGCCACACTATTGTAACCATATTAAGTATTATATTATAGGCAACCTAGTACCTAAGTGAATTATCGTGTATATAATGCATTTACCATTTTTAACGCACTGCCGCGTATCAAATATCGCAGAACGATTATTAGACCAACCACCAACATAGTAACACGCCGCGTGTAAGTTTAATAATGTGTAATGCAGCCGTGCTGTAGTGACATTTATATCTAGAAATTAGAAGTATAGTATTAAACGATATAAAATTATTAATTTAACGGTGCTATGTCCCAATATTTTATTTTAACCAATTTTGTTAAAATTGCAATATTGAATATGTCTGATATATTATTATAATCAAATAATACAGCTCTGATATAGTAATATCAGAAATACTTGATAGATATGTATTGTTAATATTTAATATTTTAAGAAGCGAATTTTTCAAACGATTAACCGCTTCAACCTTTTTACACCTGGTTAAATCGCATTAGTGTCATTAAATAGGGTACAAAATCAAATTCAAAATATGTTTTACTCAAATATTAATTTAAGCTTTACCCAAATATGTGAATTTGTATTATGTATTTACAACGTATTTATTATTTATTTCTTATAGCATTTTCTTATAATTATATTGATTTACAGTCATATATACGTTTAAGGTAAAATGTTAGTTTTCAATCATAAAATGTATAACTTAAATCTATGATGTCAACCTGTGATTTATTAAGCCGTTTCTAATATATTATCACCATTTACTTGTAGTTTATAAATATATATTGTTTTGACAGTGAAGAATACATTTTTTAGTACAACATTAACAATACTACAATAATAATGTATCACAGACATTCAAAACTATCTTTTTTTTGTTCGATAACTCGTTTCTTAAGAAAAAATAACAATCCACATCTGTTTTCACTGGGGCAATATTTTTGATGCGAGACATCTGTATATGGATGAATAGGTATAATTATTAGTTTTGAGTTTTGACAGCTCGTAAAACAGGGGTAATGTAGAGGATGATCTACATCTACGTTATCCTGTTTGTCTTACTATGGATTTAATATTTTTAATGTACCTACTTTTCACCAGGCGTGATAGTTATTGGTGTTGTTTTTATTTCATTTATTGATTTAAAATATTGAACTTTTTTCGTGTATTGTTTTTCAACACATGGCGTCGAAAGGAAAATACTAGCATATAGGTATTTTGTTTGATATATCTAATGCATTATTACAATGAATCAAATATTTTACGCAATGCCTATAATATTATTATTATTTATGTTTGCAATGGTCGCGACAACGAGCATAATTAATATTGT